AAAAAAATTTAATAGATATTATTAATTAACTTTAAGAATTATGAGGGGTCGGATACTTATGACCGCTACTGTATATAGCAAGTAGTGATTGAACTAACTATTTATTAAGTTGAAGTTGATGATTATAGATTAATGCAGTGGTTTTCAGTAAGTTTTTATCATTGATCATCTTCGTAAAATTAGAGACTTTGCCTAAAGTTATATAGAAAACAGATAAGTTATATTGTAAAATAGCGAAGCGTAAATTATAGTTGATAGAATGCTTTTGATCATATTCATTATTGATCGAAAAATTTTCTTATAAAATCCTATGATTTTATCATAAAATTTGTAATTGAGAAAGATCAATTATAAATGATATAAAATACATGGTAATAGAACTGAATTAAAATAATTTTGAATTATTTATCTATAATGTATTTATTCTTTATGATCAGAGCAGCGACTGTCATCTCATTATGAACTTATTGATAGATAAATAAGCTATTCAGTAATAATGAGATCTAGATATCTAGATAACAAGTTAAAGATTTGGGATTTAAGAACGTAATCTATTTTTCATTGTGAGTAAGTCTAAAGTATATCAGATTATTGATAAGGATTGAAGTGAGAAGAACTGATTTATCCAGTTGACAAGAATACTATTGAGTGCATAAAAATCATTTGCAATAGACAAATTAATTCTAAGTCTTCTTTAGATTTATTGATCTATAATGTATCATCCATAAAAGCAAATATAAATATATTCATTGAAACTGAAATCATTGTTAAAAAATTAATATTAGGGTACCATTTTGCAGTAAGATCATAATCAAGTATTGTAAATTGAATGTGATATAATAATAAATACACCATAAAATGAGAGAGATAATTTCTCCTTGGTCAATTCCTAAAAATACAGAATATAAATTAGTATTTTTATGCATAATAAAAATCTGATTAAAATGATTTGAAAAAAACAAAACTACAAAGTTCAAAAAAACAAGTGAAAATTTGAGGTAAATAAGCAAATGAAGAAGTATTACTAAATTAACATGATTATATGTTTTGAATATGTTCTGAAATAATATCTAAAGTTATTTATTATTATTAGAGAGGTAATCATATTTGATATTATCTAATATATAGATTAGTTTAAAAGTAGAACAAAAAGGTAATCTAGTGAAATTGTAATCTTTGAGAACATTTTTTTGATAAGATGTCTATATAATGTTTATTGATTTATTTAACCAATACTTTTCTCAAGTATTCTAATAACATAATAAGATGAGTATTGTTGAGGTCATATTCTCATAGTTTGGATTAGAAATTAGATATATATAAGTAAAATTTTATCGATTAGACGTACAGAACAGTGTTAAGCATACACAAATTAACAATCAGAATACTTAATTCATTCTAGGATCTAAATGTTTTAATATTTTATTGGAGACTTTGGAGGTGCCAGATGCTTTGTCATTTAGTAATGCTTTAAAAGGGCTATACTATTCATTTTTACCTAGTGGATCTACTAGGTATTCATAAATTGAATTATTTATAGAATGAAACAGTTTGTACTAAGGTTGTTATTCATTGATGAATTTCATGAAATGGTGGTATATACCAGTAGTTTGTTGAAAGTATCTATTTGCTTTTTATTTGACTTTATCTACAGACATAAATAAGCTGGAATCATTTATAAAGTTGTTTAAACATTAATCAAGAATGATTGTAAGATGTTTTTGATTAAAAATGAAATCAAATATCACAATTGATCATCATAGAAATTTTCACATCATAGTTTTAGTACTGTTTTAATTTATTTAGATTTATATTTTCTTCTTTGAGTTTGATAGTGATCATATGAACTTTATTCAAATTAAAAAGAATTAACTTCGTATAATTGAGATAATATAATGAGAATGAGATAATAGTAGGCTAGAAAAGCTCATATTATACTATTAAAGAAGCAAGTTTCTAGTTTAGTATCAACTAATTATTCAGAATATTAGATATGTGAAAGCCTTTTTGATTAAGCGCTATAATTTTTGAATAAACATAAGCTATTTATACATATTTTTTAAGAGATAAAATCATAAATCTTTAAAGTATGCTGATGAATGTCAGATTAATATACATTTGTCAATAGTTTAATTATATTTCTTGAATAAGATTTTAGAAGAAATTTATGATTTTCTTTGAATGTAATTTGTCAGGAATCAAGTTCAATAGTTGGTAATTATTTGCAAGAGTATCCACTTTTTTGAAAAAATTGTTCTATAATTTGTCATCTATTAAGTCATATATATAAGATTTCTTTGAAATTTAGTTTTTAGATTTGGTAGTTACATTGATATTTACTATACTTATATTGGTAAAAACTATTAAGTGGTCTGAGATGTAGAAGTCTATTGCAGTGATGTCTGTAGTATTAATGTCTGTTGCTATAAGTGATGAGTAGTAAATATAATTAATCTTAATAGATTGGTATTTGGTAGAATAAAAGAAGGATAAGAAGTATTAATTAGTATTATTGTGAAGAAAGTCAAATATATTAAAGAGATGCAATTCATCTAGTTGTAAGAAAAATAGATTCATGTGAGATATATTACTGGATCTATTTAGAAAAACATTAAAATAACTGATTAAAATAACTTTTATGTTAAAGCTCTATACTTCAGCAATATATTTGTGATATCTTTATATATTTGCTTATGCAATGTCTAGTTTAAACTTAATATATAGCAATTGATAAGGTGAATGTGAAATTTATTACAAAATTAGAAATCAATGTAAATAATGCGACTGTATCTTCTGTCATACTTATAAATATAGTCAACAAGTTATTTTTTTTATCAGAAGTCTAACACCTATATCAGAAAATTAGATACTAGTATTAAAATTAAAGAAGGATATAAAATTAGAAGAAGATAAATTATTAAAATTTAGGATATCATTATTCATTTTAAAGTTAATCTCTTGAGTTCTAATAATATCTAAGTAGTTAAAATTATATAAAGTAATTAACAATTATTATTTTTGTAGCTAAAGAAAAGAATAAATATTATGCATTGCAATATTGATATGAGACGATTGAGTAATCAAAACGTTATTTGAAAAATTGTTATAAAAATTAGTATTATCAGAATTATTTGAGCTACTAGGGCTAGCCCTATTATCATAATAATTATAATTAATCATTAAAGGTATTTAGGAATTAGTAAAGCAAAAGTTTCATTAACATCTTTAATATAGCTAGATAATAGGATCACTTCAGCTATATTAATAAATGCATTACCGTATAGCGCTACATACAGTATCCCCAACAATAGTATCCCCCTTAAGTAGTATCGGGTATTATTCAACTTTAAATTCAGGTGTTTTTGAAAAATACTCCGATACTAATCAAAATTTGATTTTGAAAAGTATCCCTGATACTAATCAAGATCCAGCAATATGTATACTTTATTTATATCAATTTAAATAAATAATAAAAATACTCGTAAAATTTCAATTAAATTTTATTAATGAATCATAATATTGTTACACAAACAAAGCCACTTATTATTCCTATACGTTAACATAATTTGTTCCTTATTCATAGTAACCGTTAAATTCTTCATCATATCTATCCTCTTCTTCTTCATATCCATCCTCTTCCTCATCTTCCACATTCTCTTCATCCTCTTCATCCTCTTTGCCCTCTTCATCCCCTTCATTCCCTTCATCCTCATAATTCTTATCATATTCATCTGATTCATCTTCCAATTCATCATTTAATTGATTTGTTTGCCCAAGACGATTATAATTAAAAATCCAGTCATCTTCAGT